GACAGGACCGTTTTGGGTGTGGACTGTGGAAGCACTACATCCAATTTTCGCAGTCACGGTTACGACATCGAATTGTGCGGCGCAGACGAATGTCAAAGGCTATGTGGCTCCTACATGCTAGGAGCACTGAGGCACGTCGACCTATTATAGCGGCATTGTCGTTCCAGCCCTTGTCTACAAATTGGCCATGTCATGTCAGGGTGTCGTACATGAGTATAGTACTGACTGTCGCCGTACGTTTGAAAGCAAAAACTTGCATGGACTATCCCTTCATAATCCTCATGGCACAATGCATGCGAACCACATGCTAGTGGAATCTCAACCGGGTCATCACAGAGCGGCATGGAGCATCTTTCTTGGGTTTCTCCAGTATTTACTACTCCTCTATATGGGCAGACAACGGCAGGGAGGATTGGTCCAAAGCAAGGGTGTTGAGCTGCTGCAGGATTTGGTCCACAACAGCTCGCCATGGTGGTGGTAAACTATCACTACTCTACGTGTGTGTGTGTGTGTGTGTGTTATGAACCTGGTTGCTTGTTGTCAAAAGACCAACACTCGCTCACATAGACTTCCAGGTATGCCCATACATACACAAAAGGAAGGGGAGAGGATGGGAGTATCACACCGCACAGAGAGGGAGAAACACAATGAAAGACTTAACCATGCGATATGACAGAGTACACTGAAAGTGCAATTCACTCAATAGAATCCTCACAAACAGTCACAAAGTGCCAGAGAGGTTGGCTCCTGAAGGAACGAAAAGTTGCTGTTGTTCAAGACTGGCCGAAGTCTTTAACGTGTGTGTGTGTGTGTGTGTGTGTGTGTGTGTGTGTGTGTGTGTGTGTGTGTGTGTGTGTGTGTTTTGTCATATTCACTATACACTCAAAAAAAGCATGATGTGTGTGTGTGTGTGTGTACAGAAGAGGAATGCCATGATGAGAGAGTTTTAAATATAATGTAAGGGGAACACAGTTGCAGAAAGCAGCAACTACATGCAAAGTATTCCCTGAACGGCATCTTCAGCAGAATGTTCTGGCTCACAATCAACATCTTCTATGGAACAACTCGCCGAGGCCCAACTCCTCCATGGTCTGCAAAGACACCTTCTATGGAAGAGTAAATTTAACAAGAGTATGAAAAGGAGAGGCATGATATAGGAACTGCTAAGTGACACTCAGCCAACCACCAAACAAACCTTAACAAACTCAAGAATAAGTGACTGTGTTCGGAGCAGACTGACACCAGAACAATAGCTACAGTAAACAGATGGTCGCCCTTAGCTCTATGCTGTCTGAAAAGGCTCTAGCACCCATATCTCCTCCCTTTTTAATTCTCTTTTCCGTTGCTTTTTTTTTTTTTTTTTTCCCTTTCTGAATGTAAGGGCCCAGTGCCCAAGGCGAAATACAACACTAGACAAAAGACCAAAGATTAAGGGCCCGCTAAGTCTCCAGCCACATCTAGTTGGCGGAACCCCTCCCCTATGACAAAAGTCTCCTTAAACCACCAGTACTTGGCCCAGCTATCGGCCGCCGGATAAATAGTAGAAATGTTTCTTGTTGGAATTAATTCTCTTTTCCTTCTTTCTCCTTTGTGACTCTTTTTCAAGGGGACAGCGTTGAGAAATCACGATGGAACTGACCGGGCCCAGGTAATTCTGCATTATAATTTTACTCATTGGAGTACATCAGGATTCGAACTTAGGGTTGGGACCTTGCGCAAGCGCCGCTGGGTAGAGCTGCTGCCGGCAGCGTCCGGGCCAACTCCTTTCCGGTTGCGCCTGGCATTGCCAGCGCATTCGAACCGAGCCATGCCTCGGCGGGGTCACCGACCCATAGTCATCCTCACAAGTGGTCGTCGCCTCCATCATCGTGGACTGCAGGCAGAGTTGTGACCATTGCGTTTTCTCTCCTGCCATTGCCAGGTGTTTGCTTCTTGGTTAATGGGAGGGTGCACTGTGTCAGCTACTCTTGGTCGACTTCATAGGGCAGCATCGTTTGTCAATCAAGGAGAAACCACTAATTGGGCTGGACACGCAAGGGGGGAGCGCACACATAGAGCAAGGAAGAGTGAGGGAAGAGCGAAGTCATCGTTGAGTCGGGCAGACCAAAGGAACAATGCAACATTGCCTGCATAGTCATTGACAGGTGCATTTTGTGTGGGGATACGTTCATTGACTGGCTGAACAACTATGATTGTCAATCAGGGTGACATCGCTCGCATGGTTGTGAATGCAAGGGTAGAGTCTGCATCTTGAGTGGGGCGTAAAATTGACATGGCATCGTCGAGTTTGGCATGGAAGAACAGAGCAACATTGTAGATGAGTGTATTCCTCAGGGGGTTATTGCGCTGTTTCGCGCACGAAGAGTTGGTAAGAATGGGGGCACCGCCCGACACGCAGCAATTGTAGCCTGAAGCTGACTTTCAAATAGAGCTTCATGACTACATTCAACCAACTAGCGGATTGAAGATAGTGTCCGTACTCAACCAACATAGGCATCGATTATTGTTTGGAGGGCACAAGTTTCTGTAAGAGAGATTTCGGAGAAGTGAGTCAGGCATAGATTATCGCTTGCGGGGTGATAGTTTTGTATGAGATATTTCGGGAGCGGTGAGTCAGGCATCACCATTGCTTCGGGAACATCAGAGATGGGAGACAGAGATGGGATTGTGGGCGGGTTTTCCATCGTACCGCAACAAATCGTCACTGGCTGGCGTTGAGGGGAGAATAGGTTGGGGACCTTAGAGACAGGGTGAAGTCCAGAGCTGTGGGGTAAGTGGGAAAGGTGAATATGAGGGAGGAAAAAAAAAAGGAAGAAGTGGAAGAGAAGCGGAAGAGAACAAGAGTGAGTAAGCAAGCTCAACAGACATTGATCTCTGATCTTGTAAGTCAGTTCACAATCTTAAACCACAATTGCCTTTCCCATATGTCGGTCGCGGGTAGTGTCGGACACCCCAAACGAAAAAGGGGCCACCAATTCGATTTATCAACGGCGGCCCTCCCTCGCTCGGCTACCGCGTTACCCACTGTTAGCCTTAGGAAGTACAATGCTCATAGGCTAGTGGACTCGTATGGTTGTATGTGCGCTCAGTCGTTCTACAATTATTATAAGCGAAACCAAGAGGAGGGTATGTATCTAGTCTTTGTCTCTGAAAAAGGGAAGGTCGTTAAAACACTCCTCAACAGTCTTACTAAAGGTAAGCATGTCGTCAAGGAACACAACGATAAACTTTTGTAAGTAATCATGGAAAATTCGATTTATGGCGTGTTGGAATGTACTCGGCGCATTGCACAAACCAAAAGGCATCACGACAAACTTGTACAGATTGTACCGGGCCTAAAATGCAGTTTTGTGTTGATCCTCAGCCGTATTGGTGAAGTACCCTCATTCATGCACTGTATCCAATAGGTCGTCAATGTGGGGTAGAGGCTCGACGTTCTTAACTGTGATGGCATTGAGTCTTGTATAATCAATGCGCATCCTCAAGGATCCCCCTTTCTTCGGAATGAAAAAAACTGGTGCACCGAGGGAGATGTGCTAGGCCGAATCCATCCATTCTCCATCAACTCTTTTAGTTCTCGACGAAACTCATCCAACTCTGCAGGGGTCATCCTATAGATCCTTCCCTTTGGCACTTTGCTTCCAGAAATGATCTGTATCGCATGGACAACCTCCCTATAAGCTCTTGGAAAAGGTCTGGATACTCGGCGACGACTCCTTCTATTGCGCTTGGTCTCCTTCGACAACACCAAAATAAGATTAACTTGGAAAAATGTGAGTTTGGTTGCACCAATATCGTATTACTTGGGTCATGAAATCTACGCAGATGACCTTAGGCCTGAAGATGCAAAGGTGGCTAATATTAGGGACTAGCCATGACCTCAATCTCTGACTGAGGTGAGACCCTTTTTGGGGGTGACTAGTTATTACCCCCCGTTCGTAAAGAACTATAGCACTATTGCAGCCCCCTTGGCAGATCTCACACGCCTTAACACCCCTTGGGAGTGGACAGACGATTGCAAAAGAGCCTTCAAGCGGTTGAAGTATGCTCTGATGCATCACAAAGTCCTTAAACTTCCTAATTCAAAAAAGTCTTTCATTGTTACCACTAACGCAAGCCAATATGGCATTGGCGTGGTTCTCCACCAGCAAGTGGGGAAAAAGTTGAGGCCGATTGAGTATATGAGTAAGAAGATGCCCTCCCAAAAATTAGTAAAGTCTACGTATGATCGCGACCTCACGCCCTCTACAAGGCCTTGACACACTGGAGGCACTATCTCTTGGGTAGATTTATCACAATGAGATCTGACCACGAAACCCTGCAATGGATCAATATGCAGCCAACTCTTTCATATGCACTCAAGAGGTGGATCAAAGTCATTGATCAATATGACTTCTGCCTCGAGCACCTAAAGGGTGAGTACAACAAGGTTGTGTATCCTCTATCGTGTAGGGCAGATTACTTGGGTGAGTACAACCAAGTTTGGGCTTTCTCATGATCTAACTCAACCGATGGTGGATGCCTAATTGGAAGACACATTAGTGACAGACATCATGCGCAAGCTCGAGGCCAAAAACAAGGCCACTTCTGACGAGCTTGTGGTGGTGGACGGTTTGCTGTTCCTTGAAAACACTGGGAATAAAAGACTGTGTGTCCCAAATAGAGAGTCTTTGCGTAGTTAGTTACTAGGCGAATGTCATGATGCAACCGAACACTCTGGCTATAAAAAGACTTCAGCAAACCTTGTTCAGAGATGTTTGTGGCCCACTATGGTAGAGGATGCTAAGTGCTATGTAGAAACATGCCAAGTTTGTCAGCGTGACAAACCAAAGACCCATTGCAAGCACCTCTAGGCCTTATTAAGCCATTGCCTATCCCTGCTGGACTCGGATGCTTGTCCATGGATTTCATGGACACCCTCATGACCTCCTGACCAGGAAATGTGGCAAGAGGCATATCATCGTCATAGTGAATCGATTTTCGAAGTACGCTAGGTTAGTCGCAATGTTAGAGAGCGCTAAGACTTACCAAGTGCTCAAACTTTTCATGGAAAACTAAGTGTGTGGTTGTCGAGGCCCATAGTGAGTGACAAAGATGTCCGCTTTATGAGTGAATTGTGGAAGAAGGTGGCCGAGCAGATGGGGCCCCAACTGTAGGTGACTTCAGGTAATCATCATGAAGCCAACGACCAGGCGGAGCAGATGAACCGTGTGGTACACCACTTGCTCCAGCACTCCATTCTGTCAATTGTCCTGCCACGTGGTGGTGGTAGTGGAGGTGGTGGTGGTGTGGTGGTGGTGGAAGTGGTGGTGGAGGAAAAGATGGTGGCGGTAGCAGTGGTGGCGGTAGCAGTGGTAGCGGTGCAGGAGGCGGCACGCTTTCAGCAGCAGTTGCGACATTGGTAGGATGCAGGCCATCACCTGCTACAGGCACTTCGACACCATTTCCATTGTCTTTTGCGGTTGGTCTGGTGTTCAGCTGAGTTGCCATATCCACATAAGCATCCGCCCTTTCGGTAGTAACGGCAAGAGATGGCGGGCCTTCTGCGTTTGGCTGTGTGGAGGGTTGATGCTGCCTGTGTTCGGAATCGGTGTTCGGGAGTGGGCAGGTGCGCATTGCGAGTGGTTGTGTTGAGGGCGGATGTTGCCTGTCTGCAGAATGAGCATTCGGCAACGGGTGAGCAATTGATCAACGCGCCATGCGACAAAACCAGTTGGAGAGCCGTGTGACTTGAGTGGGTAGCGGACGCTGCTGGCCACGCACATATGCAGTCCAGCCTCCGACCAGGACACTGGGCGGATGGCTCCTAGCAAGCATACGCCATGTCAAGGAGGTCACCGCTGCTTTGAAATCAGTGTTGTTGTTGTTGTTGTTGTTGCATGTGTTTTGCCCCTATTCCACCCAAATGAGTAGATCCGAAATCAAAGCAGCTTTAGTCCTATTGCAGAAAACGAAAACACTTGAGTTTGAAACCGACCAACAATGAAGCAGTTACCTTTATAGCAAGCAACACTGAGCAAAATAGAAGCGTTTAAATCCCTTTCTTAATTGTGTTGACTCTGGCTTTTTTGGGTACCCCTTTCATTTGTCCTTGCATTTCCCCGTTTACTGTGCCTCTCATGTAAAGGCTTGCCACGTTTATTGTGGTTGAGCATGAATTGCCCACATCCCTGTGTGCAATAATTGCTCACTTGCACATCATGAAAGGAGGCAAAGTAAAGGTGGAGGTATATTCCTGTTCATTTTGCCCAAGATCTTCAACTTATATTCAACCACTAGTACTTGGCCCAACTATCGAAGTCGAGCCTCGCAGCCCCCTGCGTGCCAAGTCCTGCAGAACTGCCGTCGGTCTTTTTCGTTTTCATTTTGGCAGTGGCCTCCAGCCAATGCGGTCCAGTAGGCCGAAGCCCAAATGCCGCGGCGCGTTAACGGGGAAGCGCCGCGGCCGATAGCTGGGCCAAGTACTGGTGGTTTAATGATGCTTATCCATATGCTTTTACGAGAAGTACAAAAGAGGGGGGAAGAAGGAAATAGGAGGTGGAGTTCTCACAGGGTTCTAAATACTCACCACTGGAGCAAACTACTCTAGAATGGCACGGGAGGACAGTCGATGTTTGGGTTGGATAAGATTTTGAGTTGAGGAGAAGCCATTGCCTATAATAAGTGCCGACCCCTACAAACCGGACAGGGCCGGTTCGGGTGTGGACTGTGGAAGCAGTGCATCAAATTCTCGCAGTCACAGTTGCTGCATTGAATGGCACAACATAGGCAGGCCATGTGGCTCCAACATGCTAGGACAGAGACATGCCGACCACAATTGTAGAGGTGTTGCCGTTCCAGCCCGTCTACCGATTGGGAACGACATGTCAGGGTGTTGTACATGAAGTGTATTGACTGTCATATGTACGAAAACAAAAACTCGCATGGGCTATCCCTTTATAATCCTCACGGTACAAGGCATGTGAACCACACGCTAGCCGAATCTCAGGTAGGTCATCACAGAGCGACATTGAGCAGGTTTCCCAGGTATTTATTCCTTCTCTATGGGCAGACGACGATGGGGACTGATCCAAAGCCAAGGTGTTTAGCTGCTGCAATAACAAAGGCAGGAACAATTTCGATTTTTATAACTCATTTTACATTCGTTTCTCTTGTTTTTTACGGTCGTTTTTCATGTCACACAGTTGACCTAGGGGCCCTTGCCGGGCAGGTTGTAGGGTGGTTCTACTGGGTTATGTAAAGGTTTGGTCGTGTGATCCAGTATAATAGATCATGTTGTATAGTAGACATGTGCAGGCTTACAACAGACATACGCAGATTTACCGTCGACATATGCAGACTCATATATCATGAGGCTAGGGATTCGAAAAGGAAGTCATATTAATACAACTTTGAAATAAATGATATACAACAACCGGGGGTTGACCCCAAGTGCGGAGATATAGATCAATCACATATACAGAAGACTCCAGACATAGAATCAAGTGGACGAAAGAAGGTTAACAACAGTCGTATTTTTCATCACCACTTCAGGACACCCTTCACCACTTCATGATGCAGTTTGCCTAAACAGTGGTTTTCAGGGTCTTCGGACCTTTCACCGCTTTATGACCATTCAGGATTTTCAGACTGCCCAAAACTCTCACTTCACCACTTCAGGATGCAGCCTGCCTAAACAGGTGGTTCTCAGGGTCTTCAGACCTTTCACCACTTCAGGACCATTCAGGATTTTCAGACTGCCAAAAACTCTCACTTCATAATTTTCATTCCTGAATTTTCAGCTACCCTTTAACCGCTTGTGTCTCTCATAGGTTAGAACTTGGCCATATGGCCATTGGACACTGCTTGGGCTAGTCCAAAGCAGGGAACTCTAAGCAAAGACCCTGGATGAGGGGGGCACTCTTGGGTCTACTCATGGGGCTAGTAGTAATTGATTCACACTTACCTCCCGAGGTACCCATACGATGACGGTCATGCGACAATGCCGCAACTCAGGGTGAAAGGGGGCTCCCACTTAGCATTGCTGCCAGCGACCGCTGTCTGGTCAGGTCACTCCATCAGAGAGTGACGATCCTCAAGTGAGGTAGGATAGAGGGGAGTTGGGGTGCACCAGCGCATATCGAGAGAAGGGTGGGGTCTTGTGAGGGATTGGGCCCAAGGAAGACCTAGCCCACCTAAGCGGCATAAGTGGAACCCAGCCCCTGCACAAGGATATCACACATGAATTGAGAAATGGTCCCCAAAAAAAAACGAATGGATTCACAAGTTCTGGCCGTCCTTATCTCCCATCCTACAAAACGACAGCCAAGGATTGGTGGGTAACATCACCGCTGGGTGTTAATTTGGGAAAAAAAACAAACAAAAAAAAGGATTGGTGGGGAAAGCATGCCCATACTAAGTGGGAATACCAAGTTTCTAAAAAGGTAAGAAACACCAGACAAGACGCTTAAGGCCTCGTTAGAACCTCCCTGGAAAGTCCTCAGGAATTAAGATGAAGTCCTTGGAAAAACTTTCGGTTTTCGGGGTCGTTGTTACACCGCGTCCTAATTCGATGGGTCCCAGGTCTCCGACGACCAATTTCATACGCATACATGCGGTTGCGGGGGTGGATGTTCGTCATCGTTCTGGGATGTTCGTGTGTCCTCGGGCGTGGTCCAGTGGCGGCGGCGAGGAGGCCTACCAGGCTGACGAAAAAAAAAAGGGCGCCAACATCCTGGTTCGAATTTCGAATTTCAAACTCTCCATTGTGATGCATCTACGCCTGAGGCGTTCTGGCGGCTGGATTGGAGACTAAGGCGAAACGTTTGTGCGGAGGAGTGATGGCGGCCATGGCTTAAAATGTGGGCATTGGAACGCTGGGCGACGTAGCGTGTATGTGTAACGGTTCTCTACTGTGCTCTTTGGGCCGTCACAGCTGAGCGCGAACGTAACGCTTCCATGGAACGTGGAGAGTGCGCCCGCGGGCCCCATCGACGTGCAAAAGGTGCAGCGAGGGCGCCAGCAAGCGAACGAGTGGTGGGCGCTTGCGCATTGCAAGTCCTAACGATGAAGGGAGAGCTCCTGGGTGGTGCGAAGGTATTAACGACATCGAAGAGAAGCGAGGTGGTCGCAGTTGTATCAACGATCGCCATTCGTTATCGCATTGAGAGAACGACAACTAGCCTGAGGATGAGATTGTACGTTCGCAAGCAGAGGCAGCTGATGCAACAGGTGATAGATGCACCCGATTGTGTGTCGTTATCGGAATCCATTGTCCAATTCTGTTACGCCATGGCATCGGGTGTGATCCCGCAGGCGACGCCGAGTGGGTGGACGAGGAGGACGGGAGGGACAAGGGAGGATCTTCGACGGGTTGACGACACGACAAAGGGCTACTACAAGGAGAAGTTGCGGATGTCGCCTAGAGTGTTCCGAGAGATCGTCGAGGCGCTGTCCCCTCATCTGCAGCGGAGGGTGACATTCTATAGAGTGCCTTTGATGTCGGATCGCATCGTCGCGTACGCGCTTTATCGTTGGGCAAGTTGGCAGACATATGAGAGCAGCACGTCGTCGTTCAACATTGGACGCGCATCAGGATTGATTGCAGTGGACATCATGAGGGCGCTTCCAAAGGTGTTCCGGAAGAAGATCAGCTGGCCTTCTGGGTTGCAGTGGCTGGTCGTCTTGCGCGCCTACTAGGCGAAAGGTTTCCCCAACTGCTACGGCTACATAGACTGCACACACAACTATGTGGACAAACCTGCGCACGCACAATTGGAGAACTACTTCGACCAGAAGCATCGCCTTTCGGTGGCTGCGCAAGTGGTCGTCCACCTGGACTTATGTGTGATGGACGTTCACATTGGCTATCCTGGGATCTGCCACGATAAACTTGTGCTTCAGCTTTCCAATCTTTGGACGCTCGCTGAGGAGGGGGATCTTTTCCGTGGTCCTGCTGTGCTGCTGCCATTCGGGGTGAGAACACACGAGGTGACATGGGTACATCCTCAGCGATAAAGGCTATCCTCCCATGGAGTGGATCGTCGTACCTTATGGAGGGGCCGATCAGTGCGCCGACGAGGAGAGGTTTGACAACAAGCAGAAGGTTGCCAGAGGAGCGGTGGAGAGAGCTTTCGGAAAGCGGAAGGGGATGTGGAGGCATTTCCTCCGCACACACAAAACGAATATGGCTACTCTCCCACAACAGTTCGTCGTCGTGTGCATTCTGCACAACATCCTCCTGGACGCCGACATAGACTTTGACGAGAACTTTTTGTGGGAGGTGGACGCGCGAATGGTGTGCGTCGGCAACTGGACTTGGGGTTGGATCACCCTCCCTACCGCATTGCGGAGAACTTCAATCGGCCTCGGGCGCTGGCCTTGCTCGAAGAACTTGCGGAGCCCATGACACACGAGTGAACGTGCGTAGTGTCTCTGCGGCGGTTCCTCAGGCGTCGGTCTCTACGTGGAACTCGACGGGCGGGCGTGTGCAAGGTTTGCTTGTGGGCAACAAACGTCGTGTTGCTGGGGATGGAAGGGGTGTCGACGTTGTCGGGCGGCAGTGTCCTGTAGTTTTGTTGCTGGACAACTCCGTCTCCTTTTTTTTTTTTTTTTTTTGTCTTTTTTGGTTGTTTGTTTTCTACGCGGAACATTTGAAGTGTGATGGACAGGTGTTCCATCGTGGATTTCATGAAGACAACGCTTGCCTTTATTGTGTTTTTTTGTACATTTCCAGCGCATTGTGCCAACCTCATTTCTGGCGCTTTTTTTCGTTCCTGTGCATGCAAAAACTTTTTGTGGTCATTCGTGCGTCGAATTGAGAACAAAAACGCGATCGTTTAGTTCCTGCATTCAAACAAACGTCTGGCGTGGTTCCGATTTTCAGTTATGTACTTGTCTTTTTTTTTTTTTTTTTGGCTTCCGTACTCTGTTCATTCGTATGCAATCTTTTGTGTTCTGAGCGTGAACGGAAAAACAAATAAACAAACAAAAAGTTCGACAATTGAGCACGCATGTCTTCGTCTATACAAAACAACAATCGATGCAGGCGAAGGTTGCACCGAATATCAAACAAGACATTCACGATTTCTCCATAACAACATTCAGAACACATGCAATGAGTAGACAACAGACTCTCGCACATCATACGCACAAGATAAGCAAGGATATGGGTGAGACGAACATGAAAAGACAGCGGACATGACAAACATGCAATCGCACACACGAACGCCGTTTTTTTTTTTGCTTTTGTTTTTTTATTTTTAAAGGTGCCATTATCATAATGGCTTCCATTACGTAGTGCACGTGGTACACAAGGCGCTCTGTCGAACCAACTACACTGGCAACCAGCCAGACCAGCACACAGCCCGTCTACAAACAAAGCCCCGCCAAACAGCACCCCCCCATCTTCCTCCCCCCCCCCCCCCTGGGGACGTGGTGCCATCAACCAGGGGCGCTTCCGCTCCGTACGCGGACAAGGCAAGAACGAGGTGCAGGACTGCCACTCCGACGACTTTAACGACGCTCCATCGCCATCGTCTCCATCGTCCTTCCTTTCGCCATCAACAGGTCCCATCCCCATCCAGTCCATCCTCGCCACAACATCAGGGTCCGCCAAACTGGCGTTGTAGTTGAAGCGCACTCGACATGCTGCCCACTCCGGGATGTAGTTGGGAAACACACCCAACGTCAAGGGCGGCTTCCCAAGGCGAGACAAAACAGCATTCCTGAAGTTAACAATATGCCTGCGCCAGTTGAACGCATGTGACCCTCCCACCAACAGTGTGGGCTTTGCAACGAGCTGCGAGTAGTAGGACGCCTCCTCGTGGGAGCGGACGTCGTCACCTCCCATACGCATGATCCACATGCATGCGGCGAAAGGGAGGCAGAAAGCATTCCCGATTCTGCTCAACCTTGACTGGGACATCTTCAACAAGCTGCCGTGGCGGCGACGACTCGCATCGTCAAAGCACGAGGCCAAACGCAAGACCGCAGACTCCTGATGGGCAGCCATGTCATCATCCTCCTGCCTGTCCTCGATGTATGCCCCAGCATACCACAACGGAATGTCCATCTTGAGGGCGACCGTATGATAAACCATGCTAGGACAGACCACCCTCGACCACTCCACTCACTGCCACACTGCTCTCGCCATACCCATTGGGTAATCAATGGTGACATACGATTCCGCGCGGGCGAAACCATCGGGTCTGGAAGGGGACCTAAAGATCCACTCGTGGATCACGAGCATGGCGACGTTCTCCATCTCCCTCGCCCTGTGAAGAGCTGGCTCACGCTGCGCTGGATCGTCGATTCCGAAGTGGGGGACGTCGGCGGTGGGCATGATTAGGCCTAGGGGAGCGTTGGCGCCGCATCACCATTGACGACTGCACAATTGTAGTCTGCCCAAGAGTGTGCAGCGCGCGATGAGGCGACCAGGTCCGCTTCCCCAAAATGTCTTCCCGTCTGTCCAGAGCTTGGACCGCGTCCAACTCCTCCTCCTACCGCGATTTTTTCTTCTTGTTGATGAGAGCCTCGTCGTCTTCGTCGTATGCCCGCCGAGTATGATCCCTCGTCTCGTCCTTTCTTCCCGCCTCCTCGCGCCTTCCTTCTTCTCGCCTCTCCCCCCCAGTGCTGGTGGCGCCGTGGACAGCCATGCTTCCCACATTTGACAATGGACTGACCCTGCCTAATGAGCCAACGATGGTGTTTGACGGTTCAACATGATGTGCATGTGCAGGTTGGAGAGGTCCTTTGTCGACGTGTGAAACTGTGGAGAGTAATGTCGCCGCTAGCGTGACAAGTCTTTGAGCTCCCGACTCACCGGTGACAATCCCTTCGAAGCTCAAGCTTCCACTACCATCGACATGTGGCATTCCTGGCACACCAAGCCCAGTCAGTCCGATGAATTGCTCCCTTGTTATGCTGTCTCTCCCAAACCTAAGTGTCAGCGATTCCATCGAATCGACTTCCATGGGCGACACGTCTTCTCCTCTATCAGCCCCCATCGCACCCTCTGACGCCTCACCACGCGGCATTTGGACTTAGGGACATGTCCCCTTCCGATCTGCCCACCCCCGCGGAAGAGAGTGCTACGTGGCGTCGAGGATGACGCAGAAAGATTCATGATCGCTCGCCCACGATAGCAGCGATGGACGCACCTGTCATTAGATCGCACCTGTGCAGCGATGGCGAGTACGATGAGATTGTCGCGCGGCGAAGGCCAACCCTCAAGCGAGAGAAGGCATAGGCAATGCGGCGCCCTGCAGATGCGGTGAAGCACACCTGCCTCGGTCCTTTATACTGCCTTACGTGACCATTCCGTACCCCGACGCGCTCCCTGCGAGATGGCGTTCATTTCATGGACTTGTGCAGGCGATTGAAGTCCTTCCACCATTCATTGAAGACACTGATTTAAAGGTCACTACGCCCTCCCTACAGTGCCCCTCCCCCGCCTTTGGCCCTGCCTGACGATCAGTCCGTCAAGTCCTTGCATGTGTGCTTGTTTTTTTTTTTTTTTTTTTTTTTTTTTTTGTCTCTCTCTCTCTCTCTCTCTCTCTCTCTCTCTCTCTCTCTCTCTCTCTCTCTCTCTCTCATTGAAGGTGTGTGTATATGAAAAGTGAGGATGCAAAGTGTCTAAAAGCATGTCATGCTTACAACGGCGATCCCTGTCATTCACATCGTGCGGTCCACAAGTTCCGAGCTCCAAGCATTGACCTGGTCATCACCTTGCAATTTCTTTCATTACGGGCTCAAAGACAGGTATTTCCCTAATGTTTTTTTCCTATTCTTTCCTATTCCAATCAATGCACGTCTTCGTTCTTTGAAAACACCATTTCAATATCACACACAGACACACACTTGAGTGTCTGTGCGAGAGAGAGAGAGAGAGAGAGAGAGAGAGAGAGAGAGAGAGAGAGAGAGAGAGAGAGAGAGA